TGTGGAGGTCGCTGATTGGTCAGTTGCTGACAAGCCTGCTGGATTGATTGAGAGGTAGCGTCGAGGATGAGGATCTGACTTGTACAAAAAATCAGATTTTACTGGCCAGTTTAAGTGTCATAATTTATTCCATATTTATTCCAAATTTGTTCAATATTTTGGTGAATCTAAGGTTTGAGAACTGAGTTTCTTTACATAATTATATTATATTATACTATTATATTATATTCCTTACAAAATTATATTATATTATATTATTATTACAAAATTATATTATATTATATTATTATATTATTTACAAAATGATATAATATTATTATATTATATTCCTTACAAAATTATAATGAAGGTTTTTTTATTTTTCCGTGGTGCTGAGTTAAAATCCTTGAGCACCCTGTCACCCACAGTCCTGCATGCTGAGCCTTTGAATGATTGAATGATTGATGAATTATGTCTCACTTCCGCTCCGCGGCTTCGCTGCTTTCGGTGCACGTCATTACGCACATCGTTTGCTGGTGAGTGGAGCTTGATGAGAGTTCAGGACAGCTGGGTCGGTGTTTAAACGAGTCTGAACACTGGACAGGATGCTGGTGACAGTTGCATGACGTCCCGCCCCACGTCTTCAGTTTGCTCCACCTTCAACCCAGTCCTCAGCAGACGGAAGGAGGACAGTCAGAGCAGAGCCGAGACACGACACAAGACGAGATGGCAGAAAACAAAATGGGCCCGAACCTCCAGGCTGGAGCAGGATTTCTCGCGAAACGGGTCCAGAAGTCTCTGAGTAGAGCTCAAGAGAAGGTGAGGTGGTCTACTCTAGGACTTCATCATGATGACTGCACGTGCTGCTTCTGTTCATTAATGAAGAGAACTGGAAGACTTAACAGTAGATCAACCATGATGTGATTTTAGTTTAGTCTCGGACCTTTTTTTACATTTTGTAAGTGATCACACACAACTCCTGCAGGTCCACAAATTGACGATTGTGTGAACCTGCAGGTGGTCCACAGAGTCCTGCAGGTGGTCCACAGCAGAGTGTGAGCTGGTGTTCAGGGCTGAAGCTGCCACTTCCTGCCTGCTCAGCACTTCCTCTTCTTCTCTTTCTCCCACACTTTGTGCTTTTCGTGCAGAGCTTCACGTCAGAGCAGAAACTATCACAGTTTCAGAATCAGTTGGAGCTGTGGGAGACTTTATTTCAGATTAAAGGTCCAGCAGGTGAAGGATTGTTTCTTTCAGATTAAAGGTCCAGCATGTGAAGGATTGTTTCTTTCAGATTAAAGGTCCAGCAGGTGAAGGATTGTTTCTTTCAGATTAAAGGTCCAGCATGTGAAGGATTGTTTCTTTCAGATTAAAGGTCCAGCACGCAAAGGATTGTTTCTTTCAGATTAAAGGTCCAGCACGCAAAGGATTGTTTATTTCAGATTAAAGGTCCAGCACGCAAAGGATTGTTTATTTCAGATTAAAGGTCCAGCACGCAAAGGATTGTTTATTTCAGAATAAAGGTCCAGCACGCAAAGGATTGTTTATTTCAGATTAAAGGTCCAGCACGCAAAGGATTGTTTATTTCAGATTAAAGGTCCAGCACGCAAAGGATTGTTTCAGATCAAAGGTCCAGCATATCGCCTGCTGTCTTTAACATGGTCTTGTTGTTCGGGTCAAATCTTGTCAGAAAGGTTCCGTGAGATCTTGTGAGATGCGTCAACACTCAGCTGAGGATGACTCTCAGCAACTACCACTCCAAATAGCTCAATATGTGTAGATCAGACAGCTGCGTAGTCATTTGTGTACTTTCATTAGAATTAGTGGTTCATGAAATATTTTGCTAACAGCTGACGGCGAAGTTTTTAAAATGGATGTTGAGCAATCAGAGTTCAGAGTATTTTGGGAATGACTCTTTGCTACTACCACACCATATCATTGCTCAGTATGTGTGTAACTGGCTGAGTTAATTTGGGACTGGTAAGGTTGCGTAGCTGTGGTGGCCATCTTGAATTGGATTAATTACAAAGTTGAATCAGTTGTAGATGCGCACCTAGTGATCATTTTCTAAGAGCTTTATTAAAATCTCTATTGATTCATGTGGTATTTTACTAACAGACCTTGGGACATGTGCATAAAATGCATGATTGTCTGAAACGGTGAGCCACATCTGTCCTGCATGTCTGTGCTGAAGAGCGTTTGTCATTAGTTTTCTTGCTATATTCCCCAGTTTGTTTGTGAAGTTGATGGACTTGAACTAATCCCGCTTTAGCCCATCCACTTTCTGCACCCCACCAGTCCCACAGCATTATGCTACCATCCCGGGCTTCAGTTATTGTCAGTGTGGCACAATGAGAGGCTCAGTGAGACTAACCTGTATAAATAAAGGTTGAATGAGTAGGGAAAATGGCTCCATCTTTATGTCTGAAGCTTCTTTTTGTATTGACCTGGGGACACTGGTGCTCGCGGACACTGACGCTCAAACAGTTTCCAGTTCATGGTAGGTTTGACCATAGATATAAACACGAGATACAGCATTGACCGCTATCGCCTATTGGCGCTGACGAGCCGTAGGGCCGCCATCTTGGAACGGTCGACCGCTCCACTCCGTGTAATCTGTTTAGCAGGAGCAATGAAGTATTTGCGCGTTTAATCAGTTATAGCTGAATACTAAACTCATTGTCATGAATTTTTCCTCTGTAAATCTTAGGTGTACAGCCATTAAAGCTGAACATGTGGTTCAGTGTATTTAAATATTCTTGGTGGGGTTAACATTAACACTAATAAAATAATCTTATGACAAGTTCTGCAAAACTCAGTCACTGATACATTTTTATTAAATATATATACATATATATATATATATATATATATATATATATATATAAATAAAATATTTCAACCTTTTTATTTATTAATACAGGTTAGTCTCATTGAGCCAATAGGACTTATTTACAAGAGAGACCTGGATTTTAACAAAGAGTGATGACAATAGTGGATAACAAACTGTTTTTCAATAGTAAAACAAACGAGCAATAAAAAAAATCTTAAATTTGTATGAATGATTAGTCAATGTGTACTGTTGTCGTTGTTATCACTGTCTTATTATATTGTGCTGCCTGCTCTGGTCCAGTCTCTTCGTGGACGATGTGCGTGAGGGTGGACATGTTTGGAGGTTGCTGTGTTGAAGCTCCATGAATCAGCCTCTCTGTAGCTCTCAGCACCTTCACTGTGTCTTGAGGGAATCACTGAGCTGCTGTTGTTCTTCACAGTTAGAAGGTGGTAGATCTCATCAAATGATGATCTCCAGTATCATCTTGTTCATGCCAGGCTTTTCATCCAGCCACCTGTAAACATCAGGGGGACCAGTAGCTGTTTAACACATCTGGAAGGAAACCAGTGAGATTTTATTATGACCATGACCATTATGGTATGATGTTATGTGGGGGAGTGGTGGCGCAGAGGTTAGAAGATGGGCCTGTGATTGGAAAGTTGCAGGTCCAACTCCCGGTACTGTCAACATCAAAATGTGGGTGGAAAAGGTGAAACGCCTGCCTCCACCCTCATTGGCCCCACTCTGGGCCCCTGAGCAAGGCCCTTAACCCCCACCATCTGCTCCCTAAACAGGTCTCTCTAGAAAATGAGTTCTCGTGACTCAATGAGGCTACCTAAAGGCTAAATGAAAAAGTTTAAAATAGAAATACTCTCATCATAAGGCCGAGGTTGTGACGTGCACGTTCCTGAGAGGCCGCAGACAGGCCAGCTCCAGCTTTTGTTGAGTTCCTGTAGTCTTGCAGTTTTCAAGATGAAATGAAAAAGCATAATGAATATGAACTTAACAGTCTGTAGTTACCTGTTTATATATACACACATGGAGGTATCTCACCTTGTGACTGACAATATGTAACTTTATGAACTCTAATGAACTTATAATGATGCACCTACTCTTTGAAGGTGAACCGATGGTACCACACCATCTCTCAGTCGAACAGTCTGATCAGTTTTATCAAAATCCTCCTGTTTAAAATCCTCACTGCTCAGATGAATCCTCCTCAAAGATACTTCCACCTCTTCCTTACATCTTGTTCTTTGGGAAACCTTCAAAATGAAAACAGGAGATTTGTGTCTACACAAACATTGTACAAAGGAGGTCAATCTTGTTTTCTATTTCTTATATTCTCCCTAGTTTTATTTTTTTTAATATCCTAGAACTTAAACAAAACTCCAGTTTTGATGCATATCTGATAATGAACCAAAGCTACTGAAATAGTGAGTATGCTTGTTAGAAAAATATTCCTGTCATACGATCTTGGTTAGCTTCATTGCAGCTAAACACCGTGTTACACTGAACATAACATCAGCTGGTGCACATAAATACAGTACAGTAATATTCTATTCACAAAATACTAACAATAATATGTTCATCTTACTTGTGAAAAGTTATCCCCCCTGAGACCTGACATCAACAGTCCATCGATTTGAACAGAAATAAGCTGCGAAGTGCTGAAACATCTTCTGCTTTAACCAAATAAGGATGACCGCTCCAAGATGGCGGCCGAAATTCCTGCGCCACAGCAGCCAATGCGGGATCTAGTGTTTATATCTATGGGTTTGACCCTTGCTGGTTCCTTGGCTGCTTCTGAACTTCCTGACCCATCTTTATCTGAGGGAGACAGTTTGGTTTTTCTTGTTAGTGAAACGGTTTAATGACTGTAACTTGTCTAATACACTGCTGCTGTTAACAGTTCAGATGGATGATCTTAGAATCTGAACATGTGTAATAAAAGCTCTGAAAGACACGTCCAACTTGTGTAAACTTCCAGTGTTTTCTGGTCTTCACTGAGCTCCCTGACCTTCTCCAGTGTTTTAGGTGTTTGTCACCTAACGAGTGCCGTCAAACAAGTCCTTCCTTTGGCTGCAAGAACAAAACCCAAGTTGCAGTCAGTCATGATCACTAATACGAAGACCTTGGGACACTCAGAGCCACTCATTAAAAAGATTGAGCTAAATGTATGTATGTATGCATGAATGTATATGTGTGTGTATATATGTATGTGTGTGTGGAGATAGATAGATATATAGATGTGTGTGTGTGTATATATAATTTATTTATTTATTTGAGCCAGTATGAACAATTTTGTCCTCTGTGTAGATAAAAAACAAACAACTCAGTAGATCAAAAACAAACAACTCAAACTTGTTTTAAAATCATTGAATGTGTTGTAAAATTAGTCAATCCTGGAATAAGAACTGTTCACATCAGTGACCTCGGCTGTAAATTATTCAACGTTAGTTGGTGGAAAAATATTTTTCCTTTTTTTTTTTTCTCCAAAAAACCCCCCAAAAATTCTACATCAAACCTGATAAAACATACACAAGTATCTTATCTTTGTAGGGTTTGTCAATACTTGTAGATGTTTGTCTTAAGTATTTTTGTTGACTTGTTTTTTTTTTACTTAGGTCCTCCAGAAACTTGGGAAAGCCATCGAGACCAAGGACGAACAGTTCGAGCTTTGTTTCCAGAACCTCAACAAGCAGCAGGTATCAAACGCTGAGCAGATGTTTCAACACATCTGCTTTTATGGTTATGGAAAAGAGTTCTTTCCAAATGGTGCATCATTAAAAACAGAACAAACCTGAAATGCGGAATTCAACCAGACTTCAGTTTCAGACGTTGTGATCAGAAACCAACCCGCAGGTTCCGACATGTTTGGCCTTAAAATTTAAAACTTGAAACCAGAGCCAGCTGGGTCTTGTTTCCCATCTGCTCAGTGTAAATACTGATTGTGATGACGTCTGAGCAGTTCTTTGCAACAACAGTAATGGAGATTAGCCAACGTGTGGAAAAACGGTTTGTCCCATCCAGTGGTGTAGTCTACGAGATACGCGAGTAAACGCAGTATACCCACTAGAAAAGCTTAAAATTCAGTATAACCACTTAAGTGTCCAACGATACATGACATCATTAGGCATGTGTCATTGATACATTAAATGGCCATTAAACATTTCCGTAACAATCAGTATGCAGCGCTTATGTTCGCTTATCCAGTTAATGTATAAATTAATACTTCTGTACTTACTACTTGAACATGTTTTGCTTTGTTTTATAAATTCTATAACATGTTTTTAATACAAAGTCAACATACAAAGTACATTAAACTTCGTACATTTATTCAAATATAAACAGCAGAGAAATTTGAAAATGTTCAATATGCTTAAAAATCTAAAAGTGATGATTACATTGTATTAACCAGTGTACTTTGGTTTCTAGCACAGTATACCCACTACAAAAAGACTACACCACAAAACCTTAAAATGTTATTTGAGTCTCTTACACGATTAAACTGCTACTTTAACCAGGGGAGGTGAAAAGGTAGACATCTCTTTATAAATAAATAAAAGTATAAAACAATGAGAGAACAAAAACTGAAATGATAAAATGTTGGAAAACATTGAGAAATTCCAGATTTGTCGGTTAAGATTTGATAATGTTGGTGTGAAACGATGCGACCTCAGGGTGACCAATCAGGATGACTCAGCTACTACATTACAAGTTTAGGCCCAGTGCTGTAAAACTGACCGAGCCATTTGTTTTTCTTCAGATTGGTTGGCTGTGGCAGCCATCTTGAATCAGATTCTCACAGTGCTTGTTCAAAGTGCTGCACCCAGCAGTCAAACTTCAGTTTAATCTGACCTGATTGCTCGTTTTCTTCAGCGACTGTGGTTTTATTTGTGAGATGCTTCAGTCTTTTCTGTTAATCCAACATTTTCAAGTTAACAAAGTCTTCTGGAGCCTCTCGGTGTGAATTTGTACGACTGCTGGAGGGAAAGTGTGGAGGAACAACAGGAAGGAAGTCTGTCTTGACAAGATGTGCTGTTTTCACTTCACCATTACACCACCAGTTTCAGTAATCTGTTTTATTTTAACCCTCTGTGGTCAGTCTGTTAAATATTCCAGTCCTGTGTGGGCTGATGTCTTGCTCCAGTCAAGCAGCTGCTGAAAACACACTGGTTATGATTTTAGGTTGTCAAAGAAGCCATGAAATAAATAAGTGCTGACATCACAATGCATAAACTGTTGCTGTGCGTAGGTTTACTGTAACTTCTCTTTTTTTTATGCAGACTGATGGAAACAGGTTGCTCAAAGATGTCAGAGCCTACTATGCTGCAGTGAAAGGTGAGTCTGTGCACGGTGTGTGTACACACGAGGCAACATGGCTGCACATGCTAGAGAAAGCTTCCTGAAAATAAGGGAAGTGAGTTTATTTCTATTTGCGGACGCTCTGACTCCTGTCTGTGCTGTCCAGTTCAACAAGTAAAACTCATGCAGATGCAGCAGTGCATGTGTGACTCGCGCCCAAACGGAGCTGTTGCTCCCGTGTTGTTTTCTACTTCCTGTCAGGAAGCTGTTTGCAGAGTGGGCGTGGCTTCAGCACCCTCAAAAACAATAAGGCCAAAGGTTTCCTTGTGCGATAAGCCAACCATGAATCACACTTCTAATGTAAGACTGTGTTTTTGTCCTCTTAAATATTATCATCCTGTTCGAAGCTGTGCACGAGACATCCAGGCGCCTGTCCCAGACCCTGAAAGACGTCTATGAAGTGGACTGGAATGGAGTGGAGGACCTCGCAGTGATTACAGAGGTGAGGGCACAAGGGGTTTTTGTATGGTAGAAGTTAAATATGCTAGTAGATGGTTGCACATCTGGGTTTTGTCAGCCTTATTTTGAAGGAGACAACTGGTACAAAGCTGTGTACATGTACTGTATTTATATACAGCTGTGTGTGTGTGTGTGTGTGTGTGTGTGGTGTGTGTGTGGGGGGGTCTAACCTCTGTCATTTCTAGAGTTTTATGCAAAATGGGATGAAATTAGTTTTTTTTTTTTTTTTTTTTTCATCAAGTTCTAAAATTATTCTAAATTTAAGTGAACAAAAACGCAACGGGTTCCACTACATCAGTATTTAACCAAAAATGAAGCCCAAATAAAAACACTGTCCAGAATTACTCGAAGCTCTTTACAACACTATGTACCTGATTCATTCATTCATTCATTTAACCTTTATTTATACATGTTAGTCGCAGTGAACCTCAAAGACTCCTTTACAAGAGACCTGAATTCATACATCACTCTACCAAATCTGTACAAAGACTAATCTGTGCTTTATCACATTCTTACACTGATGGGACACACATCGAGGGTGATGAGGGGTTCAGTGTCTCGCTCAGGGACACTTCAACATGTGACTGTGGGTGGACTTTTTTTTACTTGTGTTCAACACTACTCATCTAAATGATGTTTCTCATGAAGCTTGAGGACAATAAGGTGTGAGGTTTAAAAGACATTTCAACTTTAATGCACCTGAACACACAGCGTCTCTTACACCTGCAGAGTCTCACAGCGTCACAGTTACTGCTAAGCTAAGATGCTACAGACGTAGCGCTCCTCTAAAACATCCTCCTTACCATGTATATACGTTTATGATCAACCACTGCCCGCACTAAGCTCGCTAAACTGGCGAGCGAGTAACACAGGTACAGTGTTGCCAGGTGAGAAATGTAGGATTATTGTATTAGAGACATAAAATTATTGTATTTTGAGGGAAATTATCGTACACCCGCCATAACCAAAAAAACAAATCTATTAATGCACTATAGTAGTGATGGGTCTGCTTCCAGACCAGCTCTGCTTCTTTTCTTTTCCTCACTCGTGGGGCGGGCGCAGCGGACTATTCATCCAATCATGGCCTTTGTTCTGAGGCAAAATGCAAATACGTCACTCGTAGGCAACATTTAGAAAAGCACGATTGTGGTGGTCTGTGCCGGTCGCCACCTCATCCCCCCATTTTAAACGCACTGTATAACAACATGCATCAACACCATATTCGAGTGGGAGGAGGAGGAAGCGGGTCTGTTCATAATTTATTTATGCATTTGTAGATTTTTTTATTTATTTATTTTTTCACAAACACCTCCTTTCTCCGTGTGACACTAGGGGTCGGGGATGGGGGGGGGGGGTGCGCATTGTTGGGGTCTGGGCTGTGGGTGGGCTTTGGGCCTTGGGGGCGGTTGGTGATGGGGCCGGTGCTTTGGTTCCTCCTGGGCTGTTCCGATTCTTTTAATCTAGGTTCCTGGTTGCGATGGCCGGCACTTTGACCGGGGTGGCTGCCGGCTTTCGGTGGGGGGTCGGCTATGGTAGTGTACGTGTGGTCATTGGTGGTGTAGGGTGGCGGTTGGGGGCGTGGCTTCGCCTCATCAGGGCACTGGCTGGTCTTCCTGTGTGGCATTTGCGGTGGGGGTGCTGTGTGTGTGTGTGGGGGGGTGCGTAGGTGGCGTGCTGGGGCGTCTCCGGGCCTATGGTGCGGAGCTCTTGATGTGAAAGTCGGCCCTCCTCAGCTGCAGCTCCCTGCTGCTCTGCCCCTTGGGCTGGGGCCGGCCTGTGGTCGCTGTCAGGTAGATGGTGCATGCGGTCGGCCCAACAGATTCTGTCGGGCTGTCTGTGTGTGCCTGTTTGTTGCTCAGGTTGGGTTTTTGGTGGTCCCCCCTCTCTTGGATCAATTTGGGCCCCGCGTTTGGTGTGGGGCCCACTCCCCCCTTGGTCGTACCCCCCTTTGGCAGGGGGCCCCCTTGCCGCCGGTGCATTGGTGGCTCTCGGCGTCTGGGCTGGGTGGTGGGGTGTACGTCGGTCCGCCCTGGTTGCTGCCTGGCGGGGCCTGGGTGCCCTGGCTCTGCTGGGGGGTGGTATGGCCTCGGGGCTTGGGGCTCGGTGTCCATGGCCGGATCGGGGGGTTGTCGGCCGGACCTGTGGGCTCGTCACTGCAGCTTCCTGGAGGCTCTGCATAGTGGTTGCTGGGGTCACCCTGTTCTTTCCTCTGCTCCTCTCAGGGGGGGGGGGGGGGGTCCTCCTGATTGGGGACGCCCCGGGGCGCCG